GCTGCGAAGGGGCGGACGGGATGCTCCTCCACCTGGCGAATCTGACAGTGGTGACGGAAGGCGGCGGTGACGATCATAGCGGCGGCTGAAGCGGCTACGGTGGCGTCGGCGCTAGGGTTTCCGCGGCGGCGGCTTGGACTTGAGGCAAACGGAAGAGGACGACTAGGGGATGCTTTATATAGGCATGGGTGAGGGAGATCGGACTCCAAACGAGAGGATTTGAGCCGGAAAATCCGACGGTTAGTTTGGAGAGATAAACTCGAAAACGAATCCAAATTCGCATCGAACTCAAAGGGATAAAATCGGATTTTTGGGGAAAGGGATAGAAGAGGATAAAGGAAACAAATCTCCTCAACTAATTTTAGAAATGCACGTGAGGAAAGGCCGGAATTGGAGGGGAAAAACCGAGCCAATTCGGTCTCGGGTCGGCTGACAGAGGTTGAAGAAGAACAGTGCATAGGGAGGCATAGTAGACTTTCGGTCTTGGGCCGGCTGAAAATAAAACAAAGAAAGAAAGAGAAGGGGGAAGCTCGGCTGGGCCGACTTGGGCCACACAGCACTCGCGCGAGGGAAGAGAGTTGGGCTGAAAACAGCCCAACGGCTTAGGGGAAGATTTAAAAACTTTTTCAATTAAAATAATTTGTGAAATGATGTTTCATTTATTAAAAATACTTTCCTTACTCAAATAATTCCCAGAAAAAATCTAAAAAATAGATAAACAAGTAAAGTATTTAATGAAATTTTATCCAACTTAGTTTTATGTTGCGATTTTTCCTAGATTATTAGAGTTTAACTTGTAAGCTTTTAAAATAATTTCTAAAAATGCATTAGAGAATGAATTATTAAATTAGGCGATTTTCAGGGCGTGACAGTACTTACCTCGACATATTCGGTGGCCGATGCGCTTGGTGGACTGGTAGAGGTCGACATTGCTAGTGATGAAGATTGGAGTTGCGGAGAATCGCCTTTGGGTCGCCGGAAACTTCGAAGTTGTCGTCGGAGAGCTCAAGGAGGAGATCGGGGAAAGTTTTCACTAGAGTGGTTAAAACGGAAGCTGACGCCGTGAAAAGTGCAAAGCGGTGGTTACTATTTAAAAGGGAGCGCGGTAACGGCCAAAACAGAGTCGGTAATGGAAACCTAGTTTTAATCGGAAGGGGAAATTGAGCAAATCTGCCACATTACAAATATAGCGGACTTGGGGGGCATGTTTTAACGACCAAATTTGGTAAGACATGAACCAGGTTCGGCATTGGGATCGAAGCGGATTCGGCAAAGAGTTAGATTCAAATAACAGCGTGCGCATCGGCTGTCAAGACATCGGCTAGAGTCTGAATCGGTTGAAGATGATCGGATGAAGGATAGCAGATATAGCTGATGGGGTTGATACAACCGATTCCAGTGGCGATGGCTTTGGGGCTGTTTCTTCTAGAATCTATCAACGTGTTTCACAAGGATTGCCACGATGGAGATAAAGCTCTCGGAAAGGCAATTGTATCTATTAATTAGGATATTTTTATAATTTCCTTAGAGATATGTTTGGGCAAAAGTCTGCCACAAAGAATTATGGTATCTTAGAGTTTGTTAGAGATAAGAGTCGTGTCCGGCAAGGACATATTTTGTAATCTTGGGTATAAATATGACCCGAACCCATGTAGTAATCAATTAACACACATTCAATAACAATTTCGGTGCATCGCCACCCTATTTACTTTCGTTCTATTTCGACGAGTTTTTGCTTTCGGGTTGAGCTGCATCGATTCGATCTTCAACTCGAGGTAAACTTGTCATGGCGGCTTGCGTTCTCCGGATTAGTGCTTCCATCTTTATGACACTCTAATCATGTTTACGTAATTTATCGAGTTATCATATACACATTACAATCTTTGTTAGTTGCGTTATATAACTTGTTATCGGCTAGTTCTTATTGTCAGGAAGTGACCGATAGCGTTATGTTTCGTTATTAAGTTAGATTATATCGTGTATCCACCATCTCTTAGAGGTTTTCATCATCTTGTTTAGATCCCACAATTATCTTTATGCTTAATGCTGCATCGGTTGAGTTTGATCTGTTGAGTTTTACTTATAATTGTGATATCTGGCTTGTTTTATGATTATCGAGAGAGATAGTATTGGGGTTTCAGCCGATCTTACCTGATTTAGCTACTTTATATCTCATATGCTTATTTAATATGCTAGATTTGCCCTTTATATTGAGATCTTATTGCATTAAGTTATATTAGGCTTCTTGTTTAATATATTCTGTTTGTCTTGATATCTTAATATAGAGTGGTATCGGAGTATTAGCCGATACATGCTATATCTATTTGATCAGCTATGCTATAAACATCTATATAATCAGTACTTTACTATATATTTCGACTTAAGTGATTTATACTGTCTCGGCATGGCGACCGATCTATCCCAATCACTTAGTTTAAATATGTATTGAAGTAAGGATTATATGTTGTCAATATCTACAGCCGATCGAGTATATTTAGTCTTATCTTATTTACTCATGACTACCGATCGATTCAAATATGACATCGGCTTGAAGATAAATGATATGTCATCGACGACCAGCCGATCGGCTATCGATTATGGATTTAACCGTGGTTTTTTTTCTTGTCTTTCTTTCTCGTTGATTGCAGGATCAAATCAACTGGCACGCTCACGAACCTAAAGGCAAGATTTTGGACCTGCACTGAAGTTAAGCGGATCTTCTAGGCCAGTGTGTATTTTTCACATCAACAGACACGCATGAGGAGATATATCGACGTGGCGGTGGCGTGGCCGGCGATGTAAAAAACAAGACATATAGAAAAACTGGATCCTTACCGCGTGACCTAAAAAATAGCAACAAAAAGCGAATGGAAAAAAAGGAAAAACAACTAAAAAACAAAACGGACAAAAAAATAGCGATGTAAAAAAAGATGAAAAAAAGGCAATCGTAAAAGACCGCGAGGAAAGAAATAATAATAAAACAGATGAAAAAAAGCGGAAAAAAAACAAAAAAAGGCAAAAATAAGAATACGAATGAAAATATATCAAACGTTACTTATTTTGAGGTAAAAAATAATTAAAAAAGATGAAAAATACTGGAAAAAATAAAAAAAAAGGCGAGAAAAAGAAAATAGACGAAAATATACGGGGAAGCAGTACTTATTTTTTTATTAGTTATATATATAGATATAGATTTTTTTTCTAATATTCCCTACATATTCCTCATTTTTTTTTCTTATTGCCCCTATTATTTTTCCTTTTTTTTCTTGTATATTTCCTCATTTTATTTCCTACTTTTCCGAAATTTTCCCCGTATTTTTTTTCTATTTTTTCATTCATTATTTCTTTTTTCATTTTTAAGCTTTTTGTTTTTATCTATATTTCACCAACAATAGTCTTACATCCTACATACTTCATACAAGGTCAGGATTATCGTCGTATTTGGATCTAACGCTTCCGATTACTCCGACATGCAACCTTTATTCTCTGTCTAGTAGCGGTGTACCCCCTCCCATATTCTTTCCCACGCCACCCACATCCGGTGCTACTCCGCGCCTCCATGTCGAGGACCGTCGAAGCCAACGACCTCGCTGATCTCCTCCGCGCGGCCGCTGCCCAAGCATCACGAATATAGGCAACTGCCGACCAGAGCTGCCCCCTACCATCGCCACGCGCATCGCTGATCTACTCCGCGTCTCTACCTCGGGGGCAGTTCCGCGTCTCTACCTCGGAGGCCACACCGTCGTCTCCATGGTGCTACTCCGCGCCTCCATGTCGAGGACCGCCGAAGCCAACGACCTTGCCGATCTCCTCCGCGCGACCGCTGCCCAAGCATCACCGATATAGGCAACTGCCGACCAGAGCTGCCCACTACCATCGCCATGCGCATCGCTGATCTACTCCATGTCTCTACCTCGGGGGTGGTTCTGCGTCTCTACCTCTGGGGCCACACCGCCGTCTCCACGCCACAACAGACAGGCGCCTCCAAAACCCACCGTCGATTTGTCCGCACCACCACCGACCTTCAAGGACAGAAAAAGTTCATAATAGAGTAAAATAATACTCCCTCCATCTACTTTTGATAGTCATATTTCATCTTGGCACACAGACCAATGATAAGTAATTCTGTTTATCATCTATTTAAACATGCTACTAGTCATTCCTCGTAAAAAAGCGATTCATTAATATTTATATTTCTCGATGCCCATGTAGCCAATCATATGTGGAAGAATGGAGAGTCACGCATTAAATCCGAGAAAGTCATTAGATGATAAGTTGTTGGATTGAAAAATATGCCTATCAAAAATAAATTTTTCAGATTCGGAAATATGACTATAAAAAGTAGATGGAGAGAGTATTTTAAGAAATAGTCTATAACAGACCTCCCTCCCCACCGTCGATTTGTCCGCACCACCACCAACTGTCGAGGACAAAAAAGTTCATAATAGAGTAAAATAATATTTTAAGAAATAGTCTATAACAGACATCCCTCCAGAACCGCGTAGCCAGCCCATCCGACAGGCGGGCCCACTTACACATATCACACTTACACTTTCGTCCTCGCTTCATGTAAAAGGGTTAACCTGGGAGTGATATGGTAGGAGGGAAGATGTCTTATAAGTTAGTTCCACTCATGCTAAACTAGTAAGGTGGTACTAAACATGCACACACTACTCACATGGGGCACACTGACTTCATCCTAATTAGGCTAGGATGTCACATAGTCATCGGCACAAGTATTCATAATAAACAATCAAGCAACATTAAATAAGGAGCTACCCTCCTAGTTTTAATAGTATGTTTATTTTTTTAAAAAAATATTGCTATATTTTTCTATAAATTTGGTCAAAGTTATAGATATTTAACTTGGAAAAAAGTTATGGCGTTTTATAATTATTAAATGGAGGGAGTAGCAATCCCGATTAAATATTCATGCTAAGCTTTTGTTGATTACGCTTTCAACTTGTCACATGAATCACTTTTTGCTTAACCAAACAGAGTGAAATGACAAATAAGTTGTGATAGGTCCAGGTTAGTAAAATCCCGAGTTAATGAAATCACACAAATACATTAAACAGCTCAAAGGCAGAGAACTATAGAGCATCCGAAGAATATTACTACTAGGATAAGGTTCATCAACCCTGTGTTGACCGGCTTGAATCATAGTACAAGATCATATTAAAACACATGGACGATGATAACGAAACGTAAGACCTCCATCCTTTGAAGGTCTGATTATTGCTCGAGAGTTACCTCCACTTCAGCGCCGTCTTGTACCTCGTCATTTGTAATTTCAGCCCTGCTTTCGGTTTCCCTCGGTAGAGTGCTTTGGATACCAACAGAATCTTTTAGGAGTATGTTCCTAGATTGATAATCTGTACTGTAATACCCATCATTTTCTTCGGAGAAGCTTAGTTGCCCTGCCTCTTGGTTGGACCGAACAGTGATGCTGCCAATCTCAGAAGCATCTTTGCTCACTGCATTCCATTCTAACCTCCTTAAGAAACATTCTTCAATATCATTGGGCGACACATCATCGTCGCTGCCGTAGCTAATGTAAGGCAACCGGAAATCAATTGACGTGTGCCTCCTGGATGCACCAATCGGCTGTTCATTGACAACATTTTGTTGAAGGACCTTGGCAACATCTTTTTGGCTTTGAGAACCATCATCTCCAAAATTGTCAGTGTCACTACCACTGTCACCACCTTGTTCAACATGATGATGCATCTCATCAAGTTCATCAGATGAAGATGACTGAGATGAAATTGCTGAGTATTCGCTTTCATCATGCTCACGTTCTCTAAGCGTCTTGAGAATCAATGTCTTGAGAAGATTCATCACTTGAACAGCATGCATCAGAGCAGTAAGAGGATCTGACATCTGAATGCAAGTGAACTATCTCATCTTAGCGCACTTGCATCAGCATACAATTGATCACGTAAAAAAATTCTTATGGTAAGAAAAATTACCTGCGTCATATTGGGTGCAAAGACCATAGCGACATTTCGGGCATTCATCTTGTTTGACTCCTCTTCCTCGACAACATCAGCCATGAATTCTACAACCCAGTTAAGAAGTGCAGCCTGTGTCGGAGGAAGAAGCCGTACGAGCTCAACACATTCCTCCTCTGTGTTGCAGTGAAGAACTTGCTCAGGTGAGAGGCTATCCAGTACACCCTCAGGGAGTTCTCTGAACCAGGCCTGAACAAAATTGTGCAGCATACGTACTTAAAACATCAAACTAAATAATACTAAATGTTAATCCTTAGTGTGTGTGTTTTAGATCAGTCCCATTACTTAGTTGAAAATGCTTAGGGTACTGAACATTAGTAATCTCATCATTTCCATGGTGCCAGCGTTTCTGATCAGGAAGGCTGTTTAAAGATTATGTAGACTGCATCCCAATCAGAAGTTCTTTGTAATTTATTCCTACGGAGATAACAATTTCTTATTGAAATTCGAACGCGCATAGAGGGAAAAAAATTAAATGACTACAGTTTCAGTTAAATAAATCTTCGGACTTACATCTTAGTTCGACTTTAAATAATTCTTTAATAACATTTAACTAAGGATCATTCTTTAATAGCATCTTACTTTGCAAATATTATTATTACTTAGGAAGTTATTTACCGGACCAATCTCCATTAATATCCAGGTATTTAACCTTGTCGAGAAAAGAAAACTGCCCTATGTGGGTACATTCTTTTTCCTAATAATTAATGGGCACTGAAGAACTAAAATGACACTAGGATTTATTACCTTAATCAAACTTGCCAAGCAATGCACATCGATGTCGTCGGGCACAAGGCCCCTGTTAAGCTGCTCCCTGACATTCTCCTCCTGGCTGTTCTCAGGGGTGATACGGAAGATCCCTTCTGCCTAGATAACGAACAAAATTAAATTTACTAACTTAGCTCACATCGAGACGCCTAGCTCCGAACTGAAATTTCTCCAAAGAAAAATGGATTAATGGAGAATTCCAGTGAGAGAGACTCTGATTTGTTGTTCATACAACCTTGAGGCCATCCTGCGCGTACAGCCTCTCCTGCATGAGTAACAGAATCTTGGGCACCGAGTTCCCGTTGTCGTCGAAGCAGCACTGCATCGACTCAGGTGACACGCCGAAAACGCTCGCACTGCACGGAATCAAGAAGAACATTAACCGGTAAATCCAACGCCGAGAGACATTAACCGGAGGAATCATTGCAGGCTTAGATTTCGCCAGCGCGCGCGGCAGGGCAGGCATACAACGTATACTAGTACTGACCTGGCGCTGGGGACGTGGCCCGGGATCTCGAGCTCGAACTCGGCGGGGAGGCCGAGGAAGCCGTTGAGGCGGTCGAAGGTGACGTGAGCGACGTGCCGGACGTCGGTGGGCCAGCCGATCTCCATCCCCCACGCGACTGCTGCCGGGTCGTCAGCGTCGGCCATCTGGCACGGGAGCACCACCGACCTGCGTAGCGCGGCGAGTAGCAGGGCGAGCACCTGCCCCTGCTGCCCCTCCGCCTTCCCCTCGCCGGGTCCTCCTCCTCCCGCTCCCCTGACTCCGACTCCAACTCTTCCTCCGCCTCCGCTGCACCCATGATTGGACACCAGCACCGCCTCGCCCATGGCGACCGCTCTTCTCGTCTCCTCACTTCACTGGCTGTCGAGCTGAGCTAAGCAACGGGACAGCATGTGCTCCTCCAAGTGGGGAAAGAGCTGCTCTTTTAAAAGGCAGCAGCGCGCGGTGGGAGGATGCTTTTTTAAGCTTTTGCGTCGTCTTCGTGTTCGCGAATCGCGATCCGCTATTTTGAAATGGGGGAGACCGCGTGGGGCCGAGCGCCCAGACAAGGAGGGGTCGAAGGGCTCCAACGGCTGTCTAATTCAAACTTCGGGCATGTTTGCATTTTAGTACCTCAACTGTTCAAATACCAAATAACTGAAGGACCACATCCAAACAGACGTTCAAAACTGTTCGGCCGTTTCCAAGGGAACAAAATTAGCAAAATCTGCTATAACACAAAAAGTTTGTGGTCTTTATCATATGACACCTTAGAAACGTGATAACGCTATTGGACATTCCAAAAAAATAGTAATTAGCTACCGGACATCGCGATCATTGTTTAATTATTTTTGATCCTAATGAAGGTAAAAACCATGTGGAAAAGGCAATCCCCCCGACCCCGCGGGGGAGGGGGGTGCTTGTACCCTAATTGGGTCTTGTTTGAACCATACCCAAGCCGCTCTCCATCCCCCTGATCACTTCTCCAAAACAATAGAATTTGCGTAGCGGTGCCGACGTCCACGGTGCCTACAAACATCTGCCCATTTCCATCTTCGTTTGGAGAGAAAATAATAAAACAATGGTCACGGTATCCCATAATTAATTATCAGTTTTTCGGGTGCCCAACAACCACAAGTTTTCTAAGTATCCTACATGAAAGGCCACAAAATCTGGATTTTCTGTAGCAAATTTTGTCAATAAAATTTAGTGCAGCCTGGCTGCAAAAGGGCTTCCGATGCTGCCCTGGTTTATGTATTCAACAACAACTCTTGCCATAGTCATTTTGTGGTGAAGCTTATTGCTTGCTGTTTGTGGAGCACCTGTATGTGCTTTTTAATGTGCATGGTGTTGGCAACTCTTTTTTTTTGGCAAGAAGACAATCACGATCAGGACACCTAAACGCCTTGCGGTGATATGGAGTCGCCAACCACCCCGATCTAGCCAAACGACCAAATCAAGATGGATTTTGCAAACTAGACCGGCTAGCGGAGCCGATCTAGGTGGAACAAAGGATAACCACCCGTCTCGTGGGCAAACGGAAGATTTACGGGACAAACCTACAAAGGGGTATTACACTCTCAGCGACGGCGGACGGTTTATGGCGCAAACCGACAAAGATAGACTAAACTAGGATAAAGTAGAAAACATGACTAAAAAATAAAGGTAAAAGAACGATTCGATTATAGAGATTGTTGGGATTGGGGATTGGTATTAATCGAACCGGCCTTGGCCCTTATATAGGTGTTGGTCTTGCCTCCTACAATTATCTATTTCTTGTCAGGCTGAAAGGAGAAGGAAACTTGGGGAAACAAATTTCTTGTTGTTAAACCAAGCGCACCATGTTACGTTTTCTTGTCAATGCGTATTCGTATTTAATTTCCTAATCAGCAGTTGATCCAGATTTATTCATTTAGATCATCTACTGCCAGTTTAAAAAAACATAGTGATCACTTGAATTGCTCTGTATGTTATGATAATATTAATAACTATTCTTCCAATTGTTAGAAAAGATGGATCTGTTACAGAATTAAACGAAATCCCACACTTCAGTGTAAGTGTGGTATTTTGTTTAAATTCTTTAACAGATCCAGTTTTTCTAGCTTTTTGTGAGGCTGGACAGTATGGTCTTGGTTACAAGCCTCCTAGCATGTATGAATGGAGGAAACCAGTGCTACATAGGCAAGTTAAGAAGACAAAGAGATGCTAGAGACTCACAGAGAGTGGTGGAAAAAAATGGGATGCACAATTATGACAAATGGATGGACAGATAAGAGAGGTAGGAGCCTAATGAATTTGTGTGTCAATAGTGAGATGGGCACTATTTTCCTTCGAGCTATTGATGGCTCAGCAGATACTCATACTGCAGAACATGTTTTGAGAGTGGAATCAAAGATGTTGGTGAAGAAAATGTGTTTCATGTTGTTACTGATAATGCTTCAGCAAACCTTGCAGCAGGTCGGGTTTTTACAGAGAAATATCCTTGTATTTAATGGACCTCATGTGCTGCATTTTTTTTCGCGAACGCGTAAAAGGATTGCACATCAATATATTAGAAGAAAAAGAGTTTAGTTACACGATGCAATCAGCCAGACCGGCTTATGCCAGGGGAAGGGAGAAAAAGCAAATGAAAAAAATCTGAAGCTTAGAGAAACTACGGCGGCTTAAAACATACTCCACGCAACAGAAGGGACCAAGCCATGCTACACTCCCAACAAATCCCCAAAAGCGGCGACGCCAGCTAAAGACCACAGATGGCCCTCCGAATGGATGGACTCCAGAACCACTGAGACCGAAGAGAGAGCGGAGTCGAAAACCCTAGAGTTCTGCTCCTTCCATAGTTGCCAAGAGACCAGGAGCACCAGGGAGTCGAAGCTGTCGCGGAGGTGCTCAGGTAAGCAAGCCCTGGAGGACGGCCACTAGTCCTGGAACCAGCTGCCACAGGGGGGGGGGAGGGGGAGGGCAGCCTAGCCAGGAGGCGACAACACTCGGAGCCAGACCTGTCGAGCAAACACGCAGTCGAGGAGGGTGTGGTTCGCCGTCTTAAGATCCTGAGCACAAAAGGGGGCAGGCCGAGTGACTATCGATGCCACGCTTCTAGAGGAGATCAGCCGTCCAGCAGCGCTGCTACCTCATGTGCTACACATTGCATCGATTTGATGCTAGAAAAGATTTGCAAGGATCAACGCATGCAAAGAGTAGTGGATAAGGCCAAGAAAATTACCTCTTTCATCTATAACCATCACATAACTCTTGATTTGATGCGCTCATATACTGAGAAGAGGTAGATCGTGAGGCCTGGAGCGACACGTTTTGCCACAATATTTCTCACATTGAGCAGCTTTCACAAGTTGAAATCAAAGTTAAAAACGAATGTTCATAGGTAACAGGTATGAATTCAAACTCTTACAGCTATACTGGAATTTTATTTTATATATTTTTATAAACATTTTACTGCTGCCCAGGTTCAATGCTCTCAAGATCTCAAAAACTGCACAAGCTAAAAGGATAAGTTCAGTTGTTGTATCTGATGAAAAATTTTGGGATAATGTAGAGTTAGCCATTAATGTTTTCCGTTCACTGGTTAAGCTTCTTCGCTTTGTTGATGGTGATAAAAGGCCAGCTATAGGATTCATTCATGGTGGTCTGATGGATGCAAGGATTGAGCTAGCTCAGTTGCTTCGAAATGAGCTTGAGCTTTGCATTCCTGTTATTAATGCCATTGATTTTTACATGGATGGCAAGTTGGATAGTGAACTTCACCTAATGGCATATTATCTCAATCCTTACTACTTTTATAGCAACAGAAATGGCTTCATTAGTTCAGAAAAAATATCTGGCAGTGTTCACAAGTTTATTCAGCGTTTTTATCCAGATGATCAAAATCAAGACAAGATCACAGGAGCTGAAATGTTGGCATACTCTGAAGCTTCTGGAACTTTTGGAAATCCAGGAGCTAAGAGGCAGAGAGAGAAAAACAATGATTCATTTAATCCTGGTAACTTTAAATGCTTTTATGCTTAATGTCTGCAAGTACATTCATTATCTAGCAACCATGTACTATCTGGTACATTGTTTTGTTTCAAGCTCACTGGTGGAATGTCTGGGGATCAAAAGCACCATATTTGCAAGGGTTTGCTACAAAAATTCTAAACTTGACATGCAGCTCTTCAGGTTGTGAAAGAAATTGGAGTGCATTTGAATGGGTAACATTTTCCTCTCATTTTCTTAATCTTCATGTATTATATTTCAGCTCCTTCCCCCTTTTAAATGAATTAGACTAGTGACCTCCTTCCATGTCTCTCTTTAGACTCAAACAAAGAAAAGAAACAAGCTAATTGTTCAAAGGCTAAATGACATTGTTTTTGTACAACTCAACTCAAGAATGAAGAAGAAGGATGGTTCAGCGCAGAAAGAAGATGCTACAATGGAAGCATGCGAAGACAATGACACTTGTAATGTTGAAGGTTGGCTTCAAGATGAATCTGAAGGCTCACAAAATGTGGCAAGAACTCAAACTTGGGGTTATACAGCTGAAACACCAGTCCTGGCACAAAGAGATCACCTAGAAAACAAACCAGGGAATCAGCAAAACGTGCGAAAAGGTCACATGGAGCGATGTCAAATCGTGCTTCCACTTCCAGGACAGCAGCGCCAATCCTTGATGAAAGTGACAAGGAATTGACTTCCTCTGAACATGAGTTCCTTGCTTCCGATGATGATCATGAGACTGAAGTTTCAGATAATGATGTTGCAGTTGATGATAATTCTTCGGAGTAACTCATATCTTATTTGGGACCTTGTTTTAGTTTTAGTGTCACTTATGTAGTGTTACCCGCTTTTGATATTTCCTTTATGCATTACGAACCACCAGTGCACTTTGTCGACCACTCGGCCGGTGCGCAGGTCATCAAGAATATCACGTCTCTATATTATCCGATTTCCATAGCAATTTTACACTATAGGGAATGGGAGGGAATATCCCCTTTTTTAAGGACTAGTCCAATTATAAATATGTTATTGACAGAATTATTGTAGGATTAATTGGATCCAAGCCATTGCAAATTTGTTGATTTGAAAAAATGCTACTACTATTCGCAATATCGGGTATATGCTACTAAAATTTTGCAAAATTCAAACCATGATACTCCATCACTATTTCTATCAACACCCTCGTCAGCTTCAACAGGAAACGAGCACCGGCCGAGCTCTAGAGCATGGCACGGTGGCAGGGGAAGAATAAGAGGCGACGCGAATCTCCGTTCACAACCTCGCCTCCACTGTGGTGTCGTCTGCTATAGCAACAGGGGACCGTGGGGTCAAGCCCGTCGGATATAGAGGCCACAACCAAAGATCTCCTCCGGCTCCACCAGGGTGTTAAGCTCGTCGGATTTGAAGGCCGCTACCGGCGCCGCTCCTTTCTAGCTCCATCTCCCTCCGTCGGGTGCTAAGCTTGCCGCTGCCGCCGCTGAATCAAGCCCCTCACTACTCTCTCTCTCTCTCTCTCTCTCTCTCTCTCTCTCTCTCTCTCTCCAATGCGACGTTGCCACGGCTGCGTGTCTCCTCTGCCTTACTCGTTGCAGTTGGGGAGCATGGCGGGGAGCGCGGGGACGGGTGTCAACGTAGGTAGGCAAAGAAGCCCACAAGTCACCGCCCCTAGTCCTCAAGTCCATGAGCCACCATCAATAAGTCCTCTCTGTGCTGCCATCCAAGAGCCCAAGTACACTAGAGATTTGCTACACGCGCTAGAGATGGAGAAGAAATGAAGGCGCTGACGGAAATGTACCATCAAATGCATGCACTAATGGAAATCTTGATGACAATGAAACGGTTCAAATTTTGCAAAATTTTAGTGGTATGACCCGATATCACGAAAAACAGTGATATTTTTTCAAATCGACAAATTTACAATGATATGGATCCAATTACCCTTTGTTAATTTGTATGTGTTGTACATGTTGTGTAAGCCAAAGGACGGCAGGTCTCTAAAGCCAGTGTGCCAGCTCTAGATCTATTAGGTGGGTTGCATCCTCTACCACTGGCTCAACGTGCTGTGGGTCAAGCTCTACTACAACTTCGGCTTCGACCACTTCTCTCACATGTCACGCGCGCCGTGGGGCTGTGGAACCTGGCTGTGCTGCTCGCCAGTGCAACCCCGTTCGCCACGAGGGACTGGATCCTACCTCAGCTACACCAACAAGCAGACAACAGAGGTGGGGGGCGTCACCATGCCGTCCGGTGTGCTGTGGATCCACCCGTTGCTCTTCATCAGCTTCTTATAGATGTGCCGATGGCGCCACACAGCTACCGACCCGCCTTACAAAGGCTATAGGTTTGTCTTTCTCTCCGTTACTCCAAACCCTTTGGTCTAAAAAATCTATTTTAAAATATGTGTTTTCCCTTCAGTCTAAAATACCATTTAAAAATACGTGAAGTCAACATGAGTTAAATTTGAGTATTAAAACTTATTTAGAATATTTTATGCTAAAGAACTAAGTAGTCAAAGTTATATACTGTTGGCTTTAAAAAAACCTAAATTACTCGTTTTAAAAGCAGATGTAGTACTTCAATTTGCATGTAAAGAAGTTTCTGTACAAGAGTTATATTACCTTTAAATTTCTGTATAAAAATGAATTATTTACAGTATAAGGATATCTTTGTTGAGACAAACCTAATTGCTAATCCTAATGACCTGTGATGAAGTTGTGACAAAGCATGTCTTCTCTCTTCTTCTTTTTTTTTAAGTATATATTAAAAGTTAAGACCAGATTCACAATCAGGAAACTCAGTTCCTTGTTACATTGCCTTGTAAGATTTTGCACAAGGCATCGAGCCATCCTTTCAAAAGGAGAAAACTGAAATTTCAAAGCAAACTTCCAAATCGAACAACACAATAGTGGAGGATGAGGTCGTCGGGGACCCACGGCAATGCCGCGACAAGTACATCAAGGGCCCTCTTCTGATGTGCTCACCGCTTGACCTACCGGCAATCCCTACTGTCTCTACGGTTTTGGCTTTTTCAAGTTTTGATGTTTAGTCGTAGATTTTTTATCTTCACTGGACTCAAACAAAGATTGACATGGAAGTCTTCGTTGAATCTGAAGAGCACAAACTACAACCCTGCTGATTGGAATCTTGTAGACGGTCGATGCTCAACCCGAACGATGACCTCGACATGTTCACTGCTGTGATAGAAAGATTTGGAAGATGCGCTCAAAAGCCAGCTTATCCAATGCATTAGAGCAGCTAGATGGCGGTGTTGACTCTGCTGCCAAACAAGAGCCAAAGTAGACTCATCAGGGTTTATGATTCCAAGATTACCTTCCGTTCCGGGCGCTAGCGGAATGACGATTTTCGCAAAATCTGATGGAAAGCCGGTAGATTCTGAACAAATTTCATAAACCAAAATTTGAATACAAAATACACGGAATACACCTTTTTTGGAAAATTTATATCCCAATAGGCTCTATGAATATCATACTATTTATAGGATTTTATTTGATTTTTTCATGTTTTATCAATTCAAATTTGAATTTGGATAAAACCCATCGAAATTCCAAATGCTTCTACTTTCGAGCCACGCCGAAACCTCGGTTTTCCACGGAATTCGACTAGTTTTCGTCGGAATTGTGAACCCTGAGACTCATCTCCAATCATGTCCTCCCTAGGGTTCACAATTCCAATGAAAACCAGTCGAATTCCGCGGAAACCCGAGGTTTCGGCGTGGCTCGAAAGTAGAAGCCGTTTGGAATTTCGATGGGTTTCATCCAAATTCAAATTTGAATTGATAAAATAGGAAAAAATCAAATAAAATCCTATAAATAGTATGATATCATAGAGCCTAATGGGATATAATTTTTCCAAAAAAAGGTGTATCCCATGTATTTCCTGAACTTTACAATAGGAAAGAAAAGAATAACGGTTTAAAAAAAAAGAAAATTTGGTTATCAATGGTAGGTTATCAAATTTAAAGGAAATGGCATTTTTACGAATTTTTTCAATTATCACGTGTTTTTCCTACATTTTATTGACTAAAACAAATTTGGTTTTTTCATTGGTTTATCGACAAAACATGTTCGGTTTTCGCCACAAACCGAACGGTTTTTAGTTTGTCTCTTTCTCTAGTTGCCTATTGAAATTTCGATGATTTCGCTCGGAATTTCGTCAAAACCGACCGGTTTTTACAAACATATCGGTAAACTCGGAATTTGTATTCAAATTTTGGTTTATGAAATTTATTTGGAATCTACTGGCTTTCCACCGGATTTCACGAAAACCGTCATTCCGCCGGCGCCCGGAACGGAATGCCATCTCAGAATCGTAAACCCTATATCTCATTACTCGTTATGTACGTGCTAGACTGCTAGTGCAATGAGATTCTTCAGTTGATGGGATTCGCCAATCGCTAATTGTTTCCACGATCTGTTCATAATGAACCTAGAACGGCTTATTTAACATATAGCGCCAATCGCTCATAATTGAAGGCAACACATGAGCAGAGAACATAGAAATATAAGAAACAATTAAAAGTTTAAAACCACCATGCAGTGTATGGTTGAATTACTTTATTTCTTTGGCAATAATGGGTTCAGATGGATTACCCTTTCCCCTATGAATCCTCACGCAAAACATGAACACTAAAATGTTAGTTCTTTACTTCCCGAAACCAGCAATTCTATTTTTTAAAAAAAAAATATAGGTTGCCAATCCCAAAAAGAAACCTGCTACCTCCGTTTCATAATATAGCACATATTATCTAGAGGGAGTAATTGTTTTCAAATACTCAACGCCCAAACCACTAACTGTCGAAATATCGTTAAATAGTTAAGTGAAGCTGTTGATGACACCATATCCTTCTCTATCTCCCTATAAGCAAATCTGTCCATTCAATTAGTTTGGATGGTACTTTACTAGCCAAAGGTAGAGGATCCATGTCCCCCCAAACCCCCAAAACAAAGCACTAAGCCCTTCAAAGAAACCACCGTCTCACTCGAGCTGAAAATGAGACTGACTGCAAGAATTCAAGAAGCACCTCAGATGAAAACTACAGCAATACTCATTTTGGTAAATGGTAAGGGAGATGCGGGAAAACAGTTACCAAATACAAAACGTTCTCATACTGAGACAAAATTCAAAAGCACTTGGATAACCGTTTACATCTCCAATTTTTATTTAAATGGGAAAAAAGGGGTCATTGCTCTTTCTGCTACAACCAAATCTCTTGTCGGAGGGATTCCAGTCCAGTTGGCCTTGGGCTCAGTGATCTTTGATCTAGTTGGCCTTGGATCCAATGACTCTCTTCGCAAAAGACGGCAAACAAAATGATGCTGAGTGGATCTGAACAACAATAACATACAGTCAGATAACAGTACCACAATGACATGCAACGGCAGTACCATGTCGGAGCAAAGAACACACCTCGGAATTGTAGAACTTAAGTGGTCCTTTCGATTTTGTTGAGAACTCATTATCCTCAATGTTAAAAATAGGATGCTGGAAATCAACAGTAGGCCCCTCGGTGGAGCAAAGCATAAAACCAATAACACCACTGCATTGGAAGCATGGTTAGCTTAGGAACTAAGGAAATATCAATTCAGCCACATGTAAATAATCAGTTAGCATACCTAGGGTATGTTGGTACTGTTGTCCAAGCATAATTCACTGAGCCTTTAAAAACTTGGCGACAATTAGCTACAATATCTTCAATAATATGCATATGCAACCATATGCTCTCTGCCTGGGTACATACAACACCACCAGGACGCAAAGCTCTGGCAACTGACTGGAAGAAAGGCTTCTCGAAAAGCTCTTGAGCCGGTCCTGGATAAGTGGTTAGGCAGGATTATTTTGATGATATAGATCAATGACAAACACAAAAACTCACATGATTAACAAATCACCTATTGGATCAGAGGAATCCACAATAACTGCATCATAAGTACCCTCTGGAGCATTTTTCAAAAAGGCCACGCCTGCATGAACTCGTCAACAAAAAATTAATCAAAGCACAAATATGTTGCAAAAATAGGAGAAGTTGCTTATCAGACATTGACATTGACATGGTATAACAAGTTCTAAAGTTGTTACCATCTCCAATGTGTAATGACACACGGGGGTCTTCAAATCCAACAGCCAGATGAGGAAAAAATTGTTTGGAGACCTGTGTGCATAATTGAACAGATGATTAACATAGCAAGACAAAACAAATGAAACAGCAAAAACTTGTGGGGGGGGGGAGTTGTTTTCTATTCATACTGGCAATTCAAATTAATGAAATCACACAGAAAACTATGTCTTACGAGCAATGTCATCACAACATTACAGTGAATCAGGTTAGCCCATGGCATAAGGGAACTATAGGGTAGGGAGCCCAGAGCAATACAGGGAGCAGGCAGAACAATAAAATAGAGAAAGAGAAAGAAGTGGCCCAATACATATACCCAGCCCACTTTCAGCCCAACATTCAACAAGTCCATCTTTCAATCACCATCTCCTCCTGCTCCTTCCTAAATCTGGCTCTAACTGCCATGCATTGCTAACAAGGACAACAACCACAACACACACTGCCATGACACAGTGATTACAGTGAAGATAGGCATGCCCCTCTCCCTTTGCCTGTCCCTCAGGCTCACTTATCTCTTCACTTTCTTTCCTTGGGTACCTTGGCAGATCTCCAGTGGCCGCAGCTACCCCAAAGGCAGATCTATTAGCAGCAGTGTGAAGAGAACTGAAAGGGTGATCCAGACCAATGCTTCTCTCTTATCCCTCCATCCTCGGTCACTCCCAGCATAGGAGAAGGCATACGCTGACTGCCATCGGCTGACAGTGGCATGTTATCAACAATGGCGACAACATGACAACATTGTCTATGACTGTAGCAGTGAAGCTCCAGGCACCATAAAGTTTATATTTGAATCAGTATCTTTTCATTTATTTGGTCCTGGATTCTTTAACCCCTTCAATTAATTATTCATTTGATTAACCAAGGGAACTGGAAACTTAATAAGATCGAGATAAATTATAAACTAATATAAACACAACTTCAAAATTGAACTATTAGTTACTCCCTCCGTACTCATAAAGGAAGTTGTTTAGGACAATATTTAAGTCAAACTTTGGGAATATAAATCATGAATAACTCTCGAGTTGTTGAGTTTAAAAATGTAAAAATTATATCAATAGATTTGTCTTGAAAAATATTTTCATAAAAGTATACATATATCGCTTTTCAATAAATATTTTTATAGAAACAAGAAGTCAAAGTTGTGTTTTGGAGACCGTGTCGCTGTCCAAAACGACTTCCTTTGTGAGTATGGAGGGAGTACATAGATAATCAAAAGTTCATAGCATCAAAGGCAATTCATCCTTTCAACTTCAGGGCTAAGATAATAAAGTTGGTTTCAGACCATATAATCATTAAATACACAATGATATGCCATTAGCAAAGAGACCCTTCATTATTGGGATTTATGGTGTAAATGATGTGTAGCAATTTGTGGTTGTCAATAGTACTTCCTCCGTTTCATATTATAAGACTTTTTAGCATTGGCCACATTCATATATATGTTGATGAATCTAGATATATATGTGTGCCTAGATTCATTAACATCTATGTGAATATGGGCAATGCTAGAAAATCTTATAACCTGAAACGGAGGTAGTATTTCTTAGCAGTTATATACACGACATGGTAAACCATGGGATAAATATTTTCTGCTGGACCACAATTTCCACTTTCAGCGCTAAAGTATTTCATTGCATCACTATAATTAATTTGAGAAACATTGTCCAGTATTTAGCGTTCTAAAAGATTCAATGTACTTAGCAGCAAAAGAAATATTTAATTCCAAGTTCCTACATCCTTTTTAATTCAATTCACATGTCATAACAACAGGAGTGACACTCTACACATTGACTGGTACCAGGCAAATTGCCAAGTAATTCTGCAAATTACATGAGAGTGACCAAACATACAGACAATGGATATGGGGAAAATACCTAAAGATTATTAACACAAATTTGCTGAAATCAACAAATTTTTGCATCACCAAGATATGAATATCGACCAATAGTCAATTGATACGTGCATGCAATCAAAGAAAGCCAGGGAAACAAAAGTTCTTACATCTACCACCATCTTATCAATTTCACATATGTCAATTTGCTCCACCGAGGAATGTCGTGAAACTTCACGCAAAACACCACCATCTCCACCTCCAATAACTAACACCTGTTCACCAAAGATTAGAGACTTAGCATATTACTCCCTCTGTCAACAAATATAAAGGATTTTGAGTGCTACTCAGCCAATCCAACAACCCTTCATTTATTTTTTTCACCGAATCTTGACGGGCATTATCTTTTTCCCGTAACCTTAATCTCTCCAAAAGAGCCTTAAATCCCTTATAGTTATGAAGGGACGGGGTACAAATTAAAACTCAATACAAAATTATGAAGGATAAATGCAGAATGGTGATATTTCACATATATAACAAATTCATAGTGCCCTCTTTTGCTTAATTTTATGTAACTTATACTCCTTTAGTTCTTTTAACAAACTTGGATGGCCACTTATTATTACTTCGTGTTACAAAATTTTACTGAAACTGCATTGTTATATAAGCACTAATAACGATAAATTCAGTTATGTCGTATTCGAATGTTCAATTTCAATAGTCCTAAACATGCTGTTGTTCAAAGCTTAACTGTTTGGCCACGTCGATTTAAAAAAGATGCAAGAAAAAGGAACTAAATGGTACTTTATTATGTTCTGGCCAGAAGAATTAACTTAATAGGAATGCTGACAAGTAGCAAAACTAAGAACAATACAAGATTCTGTTAATGTAAAAATGCATTCACGTTTGTCATAGGCGTTGGGCAGAGAGGCCGAGGCCCACGAGGCCAAGTCCTAGCGGATAAACAGTACCACGAGTACTGTAGCAGTCGGTTAGGAGATAGGATAGGATTAGATAGAGTTAGTTTGAGTTAGTTTCTTATGGGTCAAGTCATATCATCTCTATATAAGGGATGGATTGTATTCATCTCAAGTTAAGCAATGAATATCAATTAGTCTAATCTCTCCCTCCCAATAATGTTCTTCTCCCTAGCCTGAATCTACATCCCTTCTCCAGGAGCCGACGCCGCCCGGCTATCTTCCCGGCGGTGTTTATCCCGTCATGACCTCGGGTCATGACAACGTTTGTGCAGGAAAATCCTAGGAATCCCTAGAATTCACATGGTGCTTGTGTTTCCATGGAACTTTTCACTCAAAACTTGATGTTAAAATAGGGTAGCAAACATGTTGCCAGTGTTTGGCTCTGAATTAGTCCAAAATCATGTTGTCAAGTTCCTTGTCATTAAGTTGGTGTTTGTTGCAGTAAAAAATATTATCATCATCAGTACTTGGAAGTGCATGGTTGATATGAACAAAAGAATACGAGCAAACTTTTCTCGACAAGGTCTAATAATATTATGTCTAATATATTTCACACATGCATGTCCTAACCACAAATAATTATAAGAGTTCATCTCGTTATACACCAGCAGGATTACAACTTATACAACATACAATCTGCAAATTAGATGCATTACCTTCTTGGGATCTTTGATAGAGCAAAGGGGGAGGTGGGTAATCATCTCTTGGTAAGCACACTCATCCCTCTCAGTGACCTGAATCACTCCATCCAGCACAAGCACCTTGCCGTACGTGGAGGACTAGAAAGCAAAATAACAGCACAGGTTCATACTCCAGTTTGAGTGAAGACGAAGAAAAAGCAGCATTGGTGCAATAAAAGATCTTTACCTGAAACACCATCACATTTTGGTAGTCCGACTTTCCTTGGAATAGTACCTTTTCGACCTTCAATGAGTGTGCCTCACCTGCCATGGGCTCAAAAACATTATTTCAAAAATTACTAGAGCGCAAAAAATCACGTGTTGTGGCCAGAAAAAAAATCTTATTCGCAAGTTGCATAATTAATATATTTAGAATTTTTAGGGTGGTAAATCTGTTTCTCTGCACGGTTGCTTGAAGCCTTGAACAGCATAAAGCAATACCCAACTAGGGGTGGGCATAAAATCACCGGAAACCGAAGGCCAATCCAAACCGAAGAGCCGGTTTTTTCGGTCATCGGATTCCTCTTCGGTTTATTTTTTCCCTTGTTAGGCCTTCGGTAATTTGCTTGGTCTTTTATCTCCAAAAATCGAAGAAACCAGGAAATTGATCTATGCATGTCTATGAAAGGTGGAACGTCCACGGTCCATCGATCCATGCAAAAGCCCATTGATAGCATCATACCAGCCCCTAGAGGCCACTAGATCATGCGCTAATTCCCACGGCAGCCAGCCTAAACGTCGCCGTGCAGTGCGCGCACAAGGCCTGCGGCACCTCCGTACCATGAGTAGCCAATTTCTCGGTTTATTCGGGAAAACCGAACAAGAAAACCAAGGTAGATCAGTCTATTCGGCGCGGTTTATTTTTTTTCTCACAGACACTTTGGCTTGCGATTATTAAAAACCAATCTTTCTGAAAGCTGAACAAACCGAACTGTACCAACCGGGAAAACCGAATGCCCACCCCTATACCCAACCAAGCTAAAAATTTTAAAAAAAATGGCAAAGAATTTTATCAGTTCCCTAACGATGTGCTCCGTCCCATGATACAAGAAGCCCAATCGGAGATTCAACTGGACACATTAATTCTGGAAAGAAACAATATACTCCTTTATAAACTATATAAACCTTTTTTATATAAATTAAAAGCGAACCTGTAGTCCATGTCGAGCGAATTTACAAAGCAAGAGGGTGTGGCATTGTAATGGCAAAACAGGGCTACAGAGGGTAAGAGAGCGGAACGAACCAGGCCACATGGGGCTAATCTCGGAGAACCATCCAGGGATGACGGCAGAGATACCCGCCTGCTCGCCGGCACCGGCCGCCGCCGCGTCACCGCTCTCCCGCGCCCTCTTCGCCGCCGCCTCGGCCTCCATCCGAGAACCTATCCACGCACAAGAGGCACATAGAGCATCGCCATGTAAGCACTACCACCTTAAAGAAAAAAAAAAGATGCCGCGGCGAGCCGCCCCTGGAGGCTAAACACGACGGCTTTAGACGGAGAAGAGGAGGGATGAAGGGGAGCAGGCATCCAGACCTAGAGCACGGCGAGGCAACGGAGACGGTGGCGAGCTCGGTGGCTGGCGGCGGGTTGGGGGAGAGACGGGAGGAGCGCTCACAGCCGCGGCCTTGAGATTAGGGTTTTCTCCCCTGTCTCTCTTCTGTGGCTTTTTGGGGGTTTTGGGCTGCAAGTCGCATCAATAATACGAGAGGTCGGCCGAGCGACATATTCCCAAGCAGGGGAACACTTGGTAGCCAGGCAAGAGGCGTCCATGACATGTGGGGACATTTTGGCGTGGGTCCCACTTGTCAGGCTATGGGTGGAGGGCGTTTGGCTCTATCTGCGCGCTGGCGACTGGGCTGGAATTTTTTTGAGAATTAATATTATTTTTATGGAAAATCGCAAAAGTAGTGGCCAACCGGGGAAAATCACGAAAGTAGGTCCCTGTCGAACGGGTGCAATTCGATAGGGCACCTATCGAACGACGGGCAGTCGACAAAGCCCTGTCGAACGGCTGGCGTTCGACACGCTCACCTATCGAACGGAGGGAGTTCGACAGGGCCCACCACCCGGCGCCGCGAGGCCTGTCGAACCGGGGGCGTTCGACAGGGCCCTCCACCGACCCTGTCGAACAATGGGCGTTCGACAGGCCGGTTTAAAGCCCCGTCCACCTAGGCCGCGAGTTCGATTTGTTTTGAGGACCACATCGCCAGCCGCCGCCGAGAGTCGCCACATCGTCGCCGTGAGCGCCGGAGGGAGCGAGGAGAGGGGATAGCAGGCCGGAGAGGAGGCCGAGGAGGCGCCGGCCGGGAGGAAAGGGTTGGCGACGCCCTCCAGCAGTGAAGTTAAGGTATACATTAGTAATCCCTAAGTACAATGCATATGAAAGTTTAATAAAAAATTGGTTTAAGAGTTGTTAATTGTTTCGCATTGTTCGATGTTAGTATGTATGGTTAGCACATATTTGTTATTGCTAAATGTTGGTAGAGGTATTTAAGTAATTGTACGGTTAAATTAGTTCTTAGTTAGTACATATTATTGATATGTTGTGTGTTAAAATAGGTACAAAGGTGTTATATTTTATTTGGATTATTAAACTAGTTGTTTGTTACTAATAGTTGTAAATTAGTACACGGTAATATAGTATAAGTTGTAATAGGGTAATTATCGAATGATTAAATGATTAAACGTGAGACTATTTGTCATGTTTTATCAGGATGTCAGGTGATATGCCCATTCGTCTGTATTATGGCGATGCTCCTATACAAATATGTGATAGCGGGGTGGATTTGACTGTATATGCCTTCCATGATACTAGTCTGAATGCACCGGAGCATATGGGTTTGAATGACGTGTTAGGGTGGTTGTATAATATGTTTGGGGTAGATCCAGTGCACGATAAATTTGTCATAAATGCCGTGTGGCCAGTGAGGGGTCAACATGGATGGCAGTGGAGAGTAGTGGAGGTTGCGTCAACTGGGAGTTGGAGGAAGTTTGTTAGTAAAGTAAGGGAGAAAGGCTATAGCCTGGCGTGGTGCAGAAGACAACATGTGTTGATCGATCGGGGGAGTCAAGTCATGCCGTGGTGGAAGAAACTCCGTTGGAAGGTGGACAAGTTGAAAATGTTTGGCGGACTGAGCAAGGTCGAGGGGAAGAAGTAGTAGAGGGTAATACACAAGGAGAGGTCATTGTTCGTGGTACTAATCGTGAGGCCAACGACTCGGACGATGAAGAACCGGATTCGCCTATGCGTGTTGATGCAGCGGAGGAGAATGAGGCGGTAGTGGATCAGATGGAAGTGGAAAACGAGGAATACCTTGCGCTTGTAGTGGAAGGAGAAGATACAACACTGTGGGACAACGAAACTAACATACCCGATGATTGGACGACCATATCAATGAGTCGTATGAAGGTAAACGATGGTTTAGATGCCCACTGGTGTTATGATAGTAAGCAGGTGAAAGTTGGACAAATGTTTCATGACAAAGGTCACTTACAAGATGCGGTGAAGAGGTGGGCATTTGTCCAGAAGCGTGAGTTCAGGGTGAAGGTTTCAAATAGGACGACGTATGACGTGAAGTGCATACAGGGTGGATGTCCTTGGAGAGTGCATGGTTACAAGCCACAACATGACACTTTATGGGTAGCTTTGATGGTTGAGCAACATACGTGTTTGTTGGAGAATACCCGTCTGGTGCACAGAAACCTGACAGCGGCATTTGTGGCACAAATGGTATATTCAAAGGTGGTTAGAAAAACATCTTTGTCCCCTTTCACCATAATGCATGACGTTGAGAAAGAGTACGGATATGAGATATCGTACGACAAGGCTTGGAGGGCAAAACAGAAAGCATTGGAGATGAGGTTTGGAACTTATGAGGATTCTTATCACAATCTTCCCCCACTATTGGAGGTGATGCAGGCAAGAAACCCGGGCACACACATGGCTATTCTCGATGAGGTGAATGAATATGGGGAGAATGTTCTTCGTCGGGCTTTCTGGTCATTTGGGTGCATGATAGAGGCCTTTAGAAATTGCATTCCTTTGCTCTGTGTTGATGGCACTTTCATGACAGGCAAGTACAGAGGAACAATTCTAACCGCGATCGGAGTCGACGCGGATAGCCATGTCGTTCCTGTTGCTTTTGCATTTGTTGAAAGCGAGAACACATCAAGCTGGCTATGGTTTTTGCGGCACATTAAAATGTGTGTTGTTGAAAACAGACCAAATGTGTGTGTTCTGCATGACCGACACGCCGGTTTGCTATCAGCGATACAGAAGCTTCAAGAAGATGTCACACAGTCCGTGCCATAGCCAGATTTACATAGCAGATGGTGCATGCGACATTTTGGGGCTAATTTTTATAGACAATTCAGGAGTAAGAGATTGATGGACCTGTTCAAGAAGTTATGCAAGCAGAATCAACAAAGAAAGTTTGATGCCATATGGGATCAACTGGATCGTTTGACCACTACACACATGGAAGAGGTTAGGAAAAAACATATAGTTGCCAGACAGGAGGAGCCGAGGGACTTGAACCCATTCCTAATGAAGCACCAAGTATTACTCGGCGCAGGAAGCGTGGAAGGGCCATGAAGTGCTTCACGGAGTGGGTAGAATTTGAGCCAAGGGAGAAATGGTCGTTGTTGTACGATACAGACGGATCGAGGTATGGTGTGATGACAACAAATCTTGCTGAAGTGTATAACTGGGTTATGAAGAATACACAACCTCTACCACTTGTTGCTATCCTGGAGGGCATCACGAGGGGTACACAGAAGTATCTCTGTAAAAGGTATTCCATGGATAGTCTGAACCTCAGCAAACCCAGTGTTAAGTATAGCCCCGCTATTACACAGTACATGGATGAGAAAAGTAAGAAGGGAGGAATCCACAGAGTGTGGCATGCTGGGAACAGAGAGTTGTTATTTGAGATACGACTTCGTGACAAGAGTGGTGTCGGCATTGGGACTACTAACATCACATTGGAATGCACGTTGTGGCCAGAGTATCACACTTGCAAATGCAATTGCAACAAGCCTTACCTGTTACATCGGCCATGTTCCCATGTTCTTGCTGCTTCCGCAAAAGGGGGTGTTGATGGAAACATTTTTGTTTCTCCCTACTTTAGAAAGGAATCGTGGGAGGCAACTTGGCGTGGTGAATTGCGTGGTTGGCGTGCCGTGTGCGATTTCACTCGTCCTCCTCCAGGGCAAGCCAATTGGGTTCCTGACTCAAATTTATTAGTTGATACTAAGGGTCGTCGCCAGTCGCGCAGGATCAAGAACCTTATGGATGAAGCTGAAGTGAAAGATCGTTCTCGTCGTAAGAAAGCTTGCATTCTTTGCGGGGAGAACCATTCCCGTAAAGATTGCAGCATGTACAATGTAGGGCAAGATGCCACAGGCGCTGATGTTCGTCGCGTTCCAAAGGGGAAGTCGAAGAAGAAAAATAATCCTTAGTTCGCTATTATCCTTGGTGGACTCCCTACTTTGAAGATCGTTATCGTTCAATTTATGTTTAGTGCGTCTGTAATTTTAATTTGAACTTTCTTGCACTTTTATTACCCGAATCTATTTGTAACGGCCTTGTAATTTTCATTTTGAACTGCACTGCACTTTTAATATCGTCATGTATTTGTATTGGAATTGTAATTTAAATTTCGAACTGCACTGCACTTGTAATATCATAATATATGTGTCCTGGGCTTGTAATTTTAAATTGAAATGTACTGAACTATTCTTATCTGTATCTATGTGTGCTGGTACTGTAATTTTAAATTGAAATGGCATGCAAATTTGTTACTTGAATTATGTTGCATACATTTACTGTACTGTTACCGTACGTGCATTGTACTAATGTGGTTTTCGATCTGCAGGTATGGCTGATCAATATGATGGGCAGCTGATAGACAAGGAGATCGATAGGAACCATCGATCGCGACGTCTTAGTACAGGAACTTTCTGCAATGTGCTAAAGATGCGAGGACCGGATCAATATTGGCGTATTGATCCTCGTTGGGTTCCAAGGTGTGTGAAAATATATTGTTTTTACTAATACAAGGTGTTTATATTTTCATGTATTAATAACTTGCGCTCTGTCATGTTGTAGGCTGAGAGCAGCTGGGTTGTTGACGTTTGCACGGTTGGTCGAGCCTTCACGTGCAAGATCCGAACGAATCCACATTGACGCGGCGCTTCTGAGTGCTCTTGTGGATAGATGGAGGCCTGAGACCCACACTTTCCACCTCACAGTTGGAGAGATGGTGCCCACTCTGCAGGATGTGTCTTATTTGTTGGGGCTGCCGATAGCTGGGCCAGCAGTTGGCCCAACAATGGTGAATGCTGGATGGGCGGATGACCTTCTGGCCAGTTTTGGTGGTGTGCTGCCTGTTGCACTGGAGGATCTCACAGATGGGCACGGGCCTACGAAAAGTTGGTTGAATCAGTTTCGACAGGATGTCTTCCCTGATGACCAGGAGGAGTGGATCGTGCAGCGGCACTTAGTCGCTTACCTGTTGTGGTTGTTTGGATGGGTGATGTTCACGGGAACTCACGCTGACTCCGTGGACAAGCACTTCATCCACTTTGCGGAGCAGATTGCAAAGTTACCTATCGCGGAGATTCCACAGTACAGTTGGGGGTCGGCGGTACTTGCGGTGACATATGCCGGACTGTGTGATGCTTGCGTGAGGAA